TGTAAATGAAACATGAAGTTAAATCTAATCGAAGATGTAGCACATTAAAGCCACAAAGTCTCTTTGTAGGAATTTTCCCCTTGTGAACCATCTGTCTTTCTGACTCAGTAATTCCAGTGCATCAGAGGAGAAGTCTTTTTACAGAACGTTGTGATAAGCGCTTTCCACAGTGAAATTTAGGACCTTTCAGGCTTTGAACGTAATATTTAATGACACTGGTAGTGCTTACAGTATTCTCTGACAAATACATAAATGCTGGCATTGTACAGCAAACACTTCTACCTAAAGATCAACTTAAGCATGTGATAAACTTGCAGCGTGTGTAGGCAGTGGGTTCCTCTTCTTGTGTATTCCAAAGGTTCCAGGCCTTTGATTAGAGTTCAAAAGAACTCTCAGAGAAATGCTATTTGAGACAAAAACCTTTTCAAACCCATGGCTATCTTACACATCTTCATTCACTTCCGTTACATGCTTTTATCTTTGTATTCAGATTGTTAGTGTACATCAATTTATACAGCACTGCTGTTGCCCAGTCAAGCAGAGAAGAGGAACGAAAGAACCAAAACCAGGATGTATTTCTTTTCAGACATAGTAATGCTCACTTCTCGATGGTGGTGTACTCACAGACTGGTTTGTCTCATCTGTTGAAGTCTGAGCAGTGCGTGGTACCAGAAAAGTTAAATTTCTTGGAGAAATTTTTCACTTATTTAGGGCTTTAAAAATTCACATAAGTATAAATCTTTGTTATGTTTTAATGTTGGTGACAGCTGCCTTACAGGATGAAACAGTTAAGAGAAATACAGTAACAAATGGATTGTGCAATACCTGGAAGTGAAACTCTCTAAAGCAATTCAAGTTACATTTCTAGAAAGGTCATTGTTTGAAAATGTATACAGGATATTCAGTTTGTGACAGATTAACACAGTTTGTGGCTTGAAGATTAGAGTTCCTGGTGAAGTTAGCACAAAATATTTTAGCAATGTGCATTAAGGACAGATCGTAAGAACAGGCCTCAGAAATGGTACTGTAGTTACCTGGGCTAGCAGAACGTTTAGTAAAGGTAGAAATACAAACTAATTTCCAAACATGTAATTGCTACACTTCCTTTAATTTTGTAGTTTGGTGATTGCCAGCTTTATGTATCTGTAGGCTTGATCACGTAATAATAAAACTGCTCCACTTGTTACCTGAATTAGACTGCTGCTAAAACTGGAGAACGAGGCTGTTGGAGAATGCAGCTACTTGGAGTGGAGACTATCCCACCTGGAGCACGTGGGGCAGTATGCCGGGACGGCTTCCCATTGAGTGATGCTGAAGGGATTGACCTCACTTTTTTGCAGTGGGTAGCAGACTGGTGGCAGTGGTTTTAATGCTGGTGGTTTAATGCTTCTGGGATTTAATCATGTTATCGTTGGTATTCTACAGTATCTAGAATTTTCCTCATTTTTGCAAATAATTTGTATTTGAATTACTGAAGTTACACTGACGTCGTTATTTAAAGTCTTGATGCTACACCATGTGTGTGCCTTTAGTGGATGATAATGCGGCCTTAGTTGAGCAAACTACACATACAAATTGCCCGAATCAGAGCCCAAGTGGAGAATCTTTGCTAAATATAGAAGTAGCTTACACCTATGAAGGGACTCATAGTAGCATGACTCCTTATATACAGTCCTGCTTACAGAATGCCAAATTCAAAATTAGTAGTGTAAGTGTGAAGTACTGTTCCAACTGAGAGCAGAGTAGCATTACTTTCTTGACAAGTGGGTTAGAAATAAATCCATCCGCTTTTATTACAGCTTTTGTCTTGCCAGTTTTGCTTTGCATTTGTAGCCATGGCTTTTAAGCTGACTAACTTAAAACAATGTCCTTAGAAGAGTTTTAGCATGCAGAAAATTGCCATGCAGTTTTAAACAGCTGCAGAATTTTTACCTTCTTTTTTCCCCCCAGATTTTGCTTAAAAATAGATACTACAAGTGTGTTCACTCAGATGGCTGCATGTGTATGTTTATGTAAGATGTGTAATGGGAGAAAGGGAGGACTGTGTATTTCATCATGAAAGTCGTCCCTTTGTGATTTGAGACTATTTCTGTTTTAGACAAAAGTTCCCATAAGATTCCCTGCTTGGACTCCTGAAGGAGCTGGAAAAACAATTTCCGTCCAGAAGTAATAATAGCATGGTCTTTTTGGTTTTGATCATAAACTGACATTTAAAAGTCATCTGAGGAAAGACATTTCTTGATTAAAGTCAGGTTTTGTTTAATGCAGTTGTAGCTGATCCTTCCCATCTGGCATCGCAGTACTTGGTGTGATACCTTTCAGTTGCCCTATGTCCAGTTTACGACATCCCACATGAGTTTCAGACTTCCTATGGGACCTTTCAGTGGATTGGGCCATTCTGTTGCCCTGGTTATAGCTCAACTTTTCCCTTGGGAAAATTTGGAAAACTGGCCCAGCAGAGAAGATGAGGTGATGATCTGGTACCCCCAAAGTGTGTTTGGAAATGTAGTTCTGTCAGGACTGGTGCAGTTTTTGCATCTGGTGTGCTCTGGTGTTCCTTTACATGTCAGATCCATGTTTCCCATGGGATACAGATATACATTTTATGTGTGGAATAGAAAAAGTAGATTTTGTGACTGCCTTTCCTGGTTTATTCCCTGTGTTTTCAGTGTTTAAGATTGCTCACCTAATCCCAGGTGTGGCAGTTTTGCTTTGTGCTTCTGCTGTGTGGTCATTCCAAGGAGTCATCCTTTGGTGAGACGCAAGCCATGCATCCTTATGAGGGTCTGGGTCAGGCACAGCTTCATGCCATGGTTAGATTTCAGTTCTAGTGTGTTTTCTGCCCAGAGAGAGATGTAGCTATTTGTGTTTTGGCTTTTTATGTTTTGTGGATTGCTAAGATATGATCTTTCCTGCTAAGAAGCTGGATTTTATCCCTAATCCTGAGAGTTTCATACAAGATGAGATTCTCATGGCATTAGGATTGATTGCTAAGACCCTGGCATTTACTGACAGCACAGAATAACCACTTGGTGTGTGCAGAACTTGCTAACACACACTCGAGGTACAAGGGAAATCGCACGCTCTGAGATTTCCTTGGGATACCTCTGGCTTCTGTACACAGAAAGTACCACTCCCAGCTGGGGGTAAATGGATTGGTGAGGGTGGCTACAAGGGAACTCCCAGGTAAGTCAGGGGTGTGTTTTACAGTGCTTTGAAAAGCTGAACTCTTACCTAGTTCCTCTGATCTATTTTCTCTTGTGATTCCCAAAGGTCTCAGTTTGAGTGGGTGAAGATAAAACCTGACTCAATGTTTATAGCTATAGTATGCTTGGGATCTCTTGTAAATGAGGAACTTCAGAGTTGAGTTCATCAGATATGAGCTAATCCTAAATTATTTGCAATAATAAGTATTTGCAATCTGGAGCTAAAGAGATTGCTAGAATCTCTGAGACCTCTGATATTAAATGAAGAATATCAAAGACAAAGGTTATTGAGAAGGACAGTCTGGAAAACTTATTTTGTCCTCAGAGGAGCGTAATTCCACAGGCAGTGGAGCTGAAGAAAGATGCCTGTTCTGCTATGCAAGTGACCCGAGATCTGCACATTTCTGTGCTGTAACTGCCGTGTGCTTTGTTGCCCCCTCTGTGTCTTTATTCCCAGGATAGATGGTGGTCTTTATCCCTATGGTAAATACAGTACTAGATCCTTTGTAGATATTAAAAATGGCAAATTCCATGTGTTTTATGTCATTTGGCATTCTGCTCCAGTCCCCTTCAGTTTGTCATAAATTCCTAAACCAGAGCAAGGTCACATCTGGTAGCAATTTCAGTCAGCCAGATGAGGAGTAATCCTGCAGAAGCGAGCTCATTTTCTCCAGTGCTTTTCAGAGACAAGCTCTCCTGCTCCTTTTCCATAAGGCACGCCACTTGGCCTGTGAGCTCTGTGGAATGATTTAGGCTCACAGACTTTTCACACTTTATAAAGGCAATTTTTGGAACACAGCTTTGTATCCACTACATGAGGCAGTACAAGGGAGTAACAGTGCTGAAGCCTCCTGGGAACAGGCTGCATCTGGATTCTGTTTTCCCTTGCAGTAGCATGTCCCTGCAGGGGACATGTGCAGCTCCTTATACTCCTGAGTAACCTGTCACCTTTCCTACTGCATAACTTCTACAGAATCCATCCACAGCTACGATACTGCTTTCCTTTTACATGCTTTTAAAATAGTTATAGCAGAAGTTGCAAGGCTTGGGTAATTCCAAGACTGTAAAATATTAGGTTCATTAACAAAGTAATGGAACAATCTCCGCACATTGTAACAATTGAAAATCTCTCTAATTCCCACTACTGTGGAAGTTTAAAAGTAGTTTTATATGTTTCATCATGTTTCTCTTGTCCTGTTATATTTTGATAATAGTGGTTATGTTGGTATCTCATCGCCTTTATTACTTTATGCTTTCAAAGCTCTGTGTGGAGCTCGGTGGTCCAGTTTCTCAAAAGTAGCAAAACAGAGCATGGTAGTAAAGTTATGTAAATCACAGAGCAGAGATTAGTGACATGGTGATGTATTATAATGTGTTATTAAAATCAAATTAACAGAACTGAGGTAAAAAAATAATCTTTCAAGGTTTCCGAGGTCTTGCACAAGGGCCTCTAAGCCTGTTTGTACAAGCACACAATACTGGTTTTCCCTCTGAGGTGACCAAATTTAAGTATTTCTTGCTATCCCATGAATGATACTTCAAAAAAAAAACCAAAACCAAACCACTCCTCCCCCAAAAGAACCCCAAACCATTCAAACTTAAAACACCACAAAAAAACCCAAAACAAAACCAAACCCAATATGTCAGAATTTAAACCTATTAGGTTAGAGTAACCATACTACTAGAGATGCAAGCTAGTAAGATGCATTGCAGATGGAAAGCAGTCACTATAAACCATCTTGTTCACAATTTTTGTGACCTAATTTATACCCTTTTGAACCTATTTATTCTCAGGCCAAATATCCTGACACCGTGACCCTTCCAGAAGGCCTGCTGGGAGATTATATACTGCTGAGGAACCCCAAAGCTTCTGGGTAAGTCAATAAATCCATTTCTTGATTTATGCAGATAAAGGATTAGTGAAATGCATAGTGACAATCTATTGGTCTGCTTGAACAGTGTCACTCTGCTTTGTAACGTGTCTAAATGCAAAGCCTAGATAGTGTGTGTTATATTTTAGGGCTATAACCACACATTAAAAATGTGGTGAGATAATAAAAACAACTAAACGTACATAGAGGTCGCGTGCACATGGCTTTGTTAGAAGTCAGTCACATTGCTACTGCATGTATCCACGCTTTTAAAAAGCTAGGTGGAAAAAAATAAAGGGCTCTGGCAGGCTTTTAATTTTCATTATATAAAAATCCATTACTCTCTTAGTTTTGGAAACTCGTGCTACAGTGAAGAGTCTAAATTCCAAGCTTAGGATGTGGGATGCGTCCCCTGTGCAATAGGGTGACACTTCCCACCCTGGTGCGTGAGCTGCTCCCTCCTTGCATGCACAGGCCCCGTGGCAGCCTGTCAAGTCCAGCTCTGCTCTCTTCTGTGCAGCAATCACACAGCACCCAGGCAAAGCACAGCTCTCTGGTCATCTTCTCTTACAGAACAGAAAGAAAACCACAGCCACTGTGTGACTGAGAACAGCCAGAGCTGTATTTTTCCACTGTTTTAAAAGGAAATCAGTTAGACGAGGGAGGGGAGCACTGCACTCCCATTTATTATTATTGCTAGCCCAAACAAACACAGTAAGCCCTACTAGCTAGGGCTGTCTGGTTTAGCCAGATCTGCCATTTAAAACCAAAAGCTTTAACTCCGGACTGCTGAAGTGAATCTTTCTGAGCCCAGCATAGTCAGAAAACAAGGGGTGGTATTCTGCAGTTTCTCTTCAATGTCACCAGGTGCCAAGTTCCATTACACATATTCCCTCTCACCCACAATACCATTTCAGTAGGTTGGTAGAACATACACTTCCTATTAATTGGCTTGCAAAATCCCAGATCAAGCTGTGTACAAATTCCCAAAGGATTTTTAAGAATGAAGTGGCAAAAGGCCAGCAAATCCTACTGAAAGGAAAGTTCCACAGTCACAACTGGTCAGAAGGGAACCTTCCTCATTGCAATGACTTGTTACTGTGCAGATCAACTGGGATCAGGAAAGCCTTACTTTCCATAAGGAATACGCCTAAAACCAGAGATGGGAGGGAAATACAAAACATGGTAAAGCAGATGGGATTTAGAAAGCTCATTTTAGTACAACTGTTGTTTTAGAGTAACCCACGTACGTGACAAACACTCTTCCCCCGCAGAATCCAATGGCCTCACTGGTCCCTTTGTAGAGTGCAGTGACCTCGTCCTGCTGCGAAAGCTGGGAATAATAATTAGCCTTGCTAAAAACCACCACCAAGGCTTTTAAGGGAGTAATGAGAGTGAAGAGTATTTAAAAAATTAAAAACAAACCAATATGGACTCTAGGCCTTAAGACAGGTTTAACCTTGTGCATTACTTTAAAAAGGCCATGAACAACAGCAGGGTGGACCTTATCTGAAACCCAGAACATCCCTGTTCATGCAAATGCTTCATCTGAAATAATCTTCCACCATTTTCATCCTGTATCCAAGTGTGACACCCGAGCCCAGGGTGTAAATATGGCACAGAGACATGCTGTCTTACTTTTTATCACTGTGCCATGGAAACGTACCATTCCTAAGGGATGACACGAACCAGGGGAAAAATCTTTGAGGTTGAGATCTGGAGCATGCCTGGAACCGTTCCTGGGCAGTAGATCACTGGTGTTCCTTGGTTCCAGTACACATATGTCTGGTTCCAAATGCTGAGATTGGGGCGTTATGCTCCTTGGGGTGAATTTTAAGAGCACACTGAGTGAAACCTTCCAACTACTGTACTTCCTGCTTTGAAGAAACCTCACAGACAGGTGCCGAGTTAACCCTTAACCAGCTTTTCTGTGCCTATGCTACAGGTTTGAATTAATGATCGTTTGGAAGATACACATTGATGAGGAAGGGAGAACTACACCTGTTCTGGACCTTCTGACTAAAGTACCGGAGCAAGGTAACATCAGTCACTTCAGAGACTGTTTCTGAGCTTCCTGAGGAACACCTGTCCCCTTTTCTTCCCAACATCTCTTCAGGGCATATGGAAATCCCTCTTGTGGAGCCCAGCCAGGCAAACAGATTCGAATTTAGCAAGCAGCTAAGCTTCAGCTCCTGTGTCACTCAATAGGGCTCACAAAACAGAACAAGCTTGTCCTCCTCCTGCAGACAGCAGGGAACCCGCTTTGGCTGCCAGTTACAGTGCAGCTGTTTGAAAATCCTGTTTGTGGTTGTGTTTTTCTTGCAGTCCTGGAGCAGAACGTGGCAACTATGGAGAATGCACCCACCCGCTTCCGGAGCATGCTGCTTCTGTTTGGGATAGAGGCAGCCATCGAGAACCTGGTCAAAGTATTTGGCTCGGAAAGATGAATACCAGCCTTATTTACAATAGGTAGCAATTTCAAAAGTAGTTTTAATTAAGGTATTGTGTTACACAGTCTATAATTTCATTGAATATAAACATTAAGTTATTTTCCATTTAGAAACCATACTCATAAAACATGCTATCTGTACAATTATGGCACGTTATATATAAATTGTCATGACAGGAAAATAAATACAGCCATTTAAATACAAAAATGCCAAATAAAATAGTTACATGTACAGAGTGAATTCATTATAAATTTATCTTTCTGAATCATTAATGTACCAGAGTGGTTTTATCTTCTTAACATTTTCTAGATACCTGGAAAGCGTTAAAAGATCATGCACTGTCAAAATCAAGTCCATAAAAATCCATTTAATTTCACAGCTCTGTAAAAGTACAGTGATTTTTAAAAGGACAAGAGAACAGTAAGAGACTCCTGGAACAAAGAGTTAAATAGTTTTCTCATTAAATTAGGGTGGAAGTAGACAATTTGAAGATTTCAAAAGACATACTACGCTAAAGAAAAAAAGGAAAAAAAAAAATGGTAACTGTATAAAGTAACTTTTTTCCCACACAGCAAGTGTTGAGGAGAGATGGCATTAACCTAGAAAGAGACATTACACTTCTGTAAGGAGAGATGGATGAGTTAAGGACTGTTCACTGCAGTAATTCCTTTTGATTTCCTACCTCCAGGGGGAAATTCTAGTTACAAATGCATCACATTTCATACATTCATCCCTGAAGAAATAAACCAGAGTGGACAGATCTCCCTTCGCTGCTTCACTTCCACCAGATGTACCGTTAGCTCACCAGCAAACTCTCAGCATTTCTCAAGAGTTCCTGCTCTGCACTAGATGTCCATCACAACCAACTGCCTCATCCAGACCAAATCTACATGACTGTAAGTCACATACTTCTCAGGGAATGACAGCTGCTCGTGGAATCGAGGGGCCAAAGCCACAAACCAGAATCTCAGTAACATCATGGGACTTCCTGTTCAAGTCCACAGCTGCTCTAACTGCACCAGCAGGAGTGTGCCAGCTCCATTTATTGGTTATGAAAAAATATTTTATAGCAATGGTAAAATAGGTAGAGAAACCAAGAGCTAAAGAAACAGTATGTTTATAATACCATAATTGTAATAATCTGCTATTTGATCACTGAAATAGTCTCCTACTGTTGTGGTAGGTCAGGAAAAACTGGCAGGTCAGATTGGTTCTACAGTTGAGCAATGCCAAGGATTAAGGTTTGATAAGCAGCAATCTGTAAAAGAATACCTTGTTAGATATCAGGCAGGCTAATTTAAAATTTGGAATCTAGCAGACAGGCAAAAATCAGTGCTCTTTATCCACTGACATATTACTGTTTTAGCCGGTTTTGTGTAACCCTTAGTATATTTCATCTTTAGCTCTTTCTTCCATGAAAATGAAACTTCGTGACAGCACATGCTCTTCACTTGCATATTAACTGTGTGTAAAGTTACAGCATAAAACCCTGAAAAGTTTCCTTCCTTCCTCCTCTAACAGCTGGAGGATTTCTGGATTTCTCTCCCCTCAGGTCTCCTTTGGAAAGAAGGGGTTGTTATCACTGTCACCTACCAGCTTATTGCCCTGGTGCAGTGTCACATTTCAGTGAGGCACCTCACTAACGCGTTACCAGCAGCAGCAAAGCTCCACAGTGGTATGGCTTTGAGTTGTACAGGGGTTTCTGGGTTTGCTTTTTGAGTGTCAAGTAAAACTGAACCATTCAAACAGAAATCCCAATATAAATATATTTTTTAAATGCTAACCTACATTATCGTGAAAAACATGACCAGGAAGCACACGCTGCATTCAGGTAATGGCAGGTCACTGCAGCTTGAACAGCATCTCTGCACACTTCAGGGTGTGCAATCCACAAGCATGCAGGGAAAGTGCCTGTAGATTTTACCATCCTACCCTCTGTTTTGGATACATCCTCAGTCTCCAGCTCAGGATCTTCCTTGAAGATGGCTTTTACTGCAACATCTCACAAGGCTTCAGCTGCACGTACTAACATTTGCAAAGCAAAGCCATCATTAAATTGCTGATGTAGTGATACAAGCTTAGCTCCAGTACTCGCATGAGAAAGTGACCCCCTGCAGCTTCAGAAAAGAAAACCAGTTTTTTGTTACTTAAAACGAATGAGCCCAAAAGCAGCTGCTCCTACTACACAGCATGTGGGATATCAGTGATATAATGCCACCATGTGACACAATCTAAAAGAGCTGAAATAATCTGTAAAATGTAGAATATATTATTCTTACAGTTCATCTTAAATTAGGTAAGAGCGAGCTGTGGTTTCACCTTCAATAGCAGCACGTAATGTATAGAAAATACAAGACCAGTATGTCAGAGGCATTAAGCCCACCTGTCATGTACAATACAAAGACGCTTACCTTTAACCCTTTTCACTTTGTTTCAGAAGCTTTAGGTAGCTGCAAGGTGACCACAGAGCTGCTGGAGGCAGTCTGGTGTTCTTAATCTCATGTGTTTGTTAGAACTGAAAAGCAATAGGCAGCAACACAGTAGTTCCACAGGTCAGTTAACACTGGGGAAGCCACCTCAGCTGTATTTTCTGCTAAATGCTGTTATTTAATGTTGTTAAATTTATTAATTCAATAAATCTGTAATGCTAAAATGTTGTGTTAGGTTTTGTCACTCTTCTAGTGGGTATGAGTGAGGCTCAGAGCACAAGCTCCAAGGCAATTCTCTTGTTAGTAATTAGGCTTTCTATGTTAGTGCAGTACTTAGGAAACCTTTCTTTCTGTGCTCTTTCAATTCTAAGAAGGAATTCAACTTTTAGTATTAATCACATCTGTCCTCTAGTTCCAAGGTATGACACGTTATCTGTTCTGTCGTATTAAATACATTCATTGAGGCTATATAGCAAACGTGGTTTAGTGCTATTCCATGTCTTTGAAAGGCATACCAATTAAAAATCATTTCTGAAAGCAAAAACATTCACAGCTGAAAGATGCACTGAATACAATAGGGAAAAAACCCACCGTAACTGTATTCCATTAATCTTTCATTTTCTAATGTGTTTGAATAAAAAGAACCTTAAGGAAATGGTTACACCTTATGGAGAACTAATGTGCAGTCTTCATTCTCCTTGAAGAGAGTGGACATCACTGGGTCATCTTTGGCCTGTACATTCTTCAAATAATAGTTAACTATCTCGCTGTCCAGTTTGTACTGGTGGGGAATGCTTTCGTATGGTTTTAGGTCAAGGTCCAGCACAGAAACAGAAAAGGTGAATCTCGATTTGGATGTGAGTACCACAGGTCTTTGCTCAGAGCTGGAAAACAAAGAAAAGAAACTTCAGCTAATGCAGAATTTAGGAAAATATAGCTCCAGTTTAACCAGCCATAAAGTGAACATGCTGACACCTCTTCCAGCACTTTCCTTTCAGCTTCCACAGAGCTTAAAGCCAAAACATTACTCTCAATTACTGTGGCTGTGAGTAGTAAACCTAACCTGTTCTAGGTGGTAATGCATTCAAAGCCTTAATAGCCAGCAAAAGCAGAAAGAATCACTGCAGCTCCTACTCAGGTTGAAGGTAATACAAATTCAGTATCAGAACTAGTGCCCAGGCATACTCCAGGATGGAAGACTTAGGTCAACCACTGCACAAATAATCTCCATCATGAACATTTTATTCAAGAACTGCAGGCAAATGCAGAAAACAATAATCTCCAGAAATAACAAGGCTTTGGTGAAACGAACTCCCCTACAGAAGAGCAGACCAGTACTGCTGACACAAGTCAAGATGGACAACACTGTGGCTGAGCCTCCTTCCTTAGAGTGAGTCACCTCTATTATTGCCTCTAATTAGGCAGTTAATGGCAACTTGTCTTGAAAAATCTTTCATACAAGGACACCAAGGCAGAATTGTACGTGCCTAGTTAAAAACAAGTATATATCTACTGTGAACAGTCAAGTCAAATTTTAAGGAAGTAAAATATAAAACAATCTTTTGTACCATCTTAAAACTTCAGAAACAGACGTTTGTCTTAAGTATCTTAAATCAGAACTCTACCTTACTAATATGCTCACAGCAAAATATTTGGATTCTGCCCCCACCCCCAAAATCCAGACCCCCACTTTTTAAAGTTGACTGAACTGTGCAAATGCATCTTCAATTTCTAAATCAGGGGGAGTCACCTGGACACAGGCACCTCTTACCATTCATCTTGCAGGCAGGGTGAAAGGGCAATCATGAGGGAACAGTCTTTAGCAGTCATTGCTATTCTGTACTGCTGCACCTGTACAACATAAAAATAACACAGATTTCCTCTTACACTTCAGTTGCCTTTAGCAAAGCATACTGTTCTTTATGGGGGGCATTAGCATACTCAGTATGTTGGTACTTTAAGAGCTGGAAATTATTTCTGTAACAGATGGCTAACAGGAGCAAGTGATTTTACAGCATCCTATGTAAGAATCCTGTTTATTTATTTCCTACAGATACTTTAACTGAAGGCCAAAACAGCACCAGCTCTTGCAAGTGTCTCTTCAATCCAGAAAGGCAACCACCAGCTTTAATTTTTCTCCCCAAAACTGGTGCTAAACATGTTTGGTTTTAACGCCTTCTGCAACACAGATGCACCCTGGCACGATTAAGAATTTTTAACTGTGCAGACCTCTGGCAAGCCAGCAGCAATGCTGACACACTGTCCACCCCTTCCAGTGAGACAGGAGTGTATTAAAATTAACAGACTAAATAAGCTTCAACACCACACACAGGAAACATACCTTTGTTAACGCAAATGCTACTGTCCCGTCATCTTCAGTTGAAAGATCCAGCAGCTTCTCATAAAATGCTTCATTGTAAGGTCCATCTATCTGTAACGTACTTCTAAATAAATTTTAAAATTTTAAGATTTACAGACAGCTAAGATGATTTACAGGTTTTCAGTCACATTTTTCCTCAGCAGCCCAGATACTCTGATTAGAACAAACAATAACATTAATAAACGTAGCAACAGGTTAATACTCGGAGATCCAACACCATGACCTGTCCCTGTTATTTTCATATCACTCAAGACTTGCTGCTGCTTAGGACTTCAGCTGTTTTGGTTTTTTCAAGATGGACCACTGTTAATCCACTGCCACCTGTGTATCACTACAAGATCAGTATTTTTTGCAAAAAATAAGTAAGTTTCGAAACATTTAACAATTTGCAGGAGCTCCCAGAGCCTTGCTGAGCATACTGAGAGGGTGCACTCCTCTGGCAAGGCCCTGCTCTGCCCCTGCTTCATAGTGTGTGCTCACAAGGGAGTGGTTTGGCCTCCTGGCTTCCTTCCTTTCCATGTTGGACACCTGAACTCTACCTGTAAAGCAGAGCCCATAATGAAGTGGGGTGTTCAGCACACAAACACAACACAGATTAAAGAATACCTTTACAACTTATTTGTTTAAGGTTATCAATATACAAGTAAGCCACACTGCAAGTGATTTAAGCAGAACTGGAGGCCAATCCATTACCTATAGGACAACCCTTCAACTCCACGAGGAGCCCAAAGACCTGAAGGAACTCAAGCAGAAGCGGCTCGCACGTGAAGCCAGAGTGCCCTCGTGTGAGCAACGGCAGAAGTACAGGCGAGCTGCAGCACAGAACGTAAAACGGCATCCAAGTCAAAGCTTGTTACAGCAACTACTATCGCAACTACTAAAGCTTTATTTGAGAACAAATTAGGAGCTTGCAATGCCCAGTATTCTATTATTTCTTTACCAGGCAAGAAGTACCATAAAATAAAGATTCTTGTGCTTCAAAAGCATGGTTTGAGCACTTGCAATGTGGGCTACAATCTGCCATTTGAAGCTATTTGTATCGTGCAACAAGGGCAGGCTGATTCAGAGCTGCTGCAGGGCCTTGCAGGTACAGGCTAGATTGTTGCAGAATATGAAATTCAGGGGTTTGAAGGGCAGGTTGTAGGTAGGCCAATATAGACTTGAGAATGACTAAAAACATCGTAATTGCTGCAGATGTATCTCTAGCTCCACCGGTACCGAAGGCAGGAGAAACCATCCATCTTTCCTCAAATATAGAGCCTCCACAATTAAGGAGCAGGGCATTGTTCTCTCTTACTCTACTGTGAACTTCCTGTAATCATTATGTAAAAATTCAGGCCAAAGTGAGTAACATCAAAACTTTTTAACAATAAAGCTCATCTTTTATGTTTCCTGGCATTTCAAGTTAGAAATTCAGAACATGCAATCCATGAGGAAAGGCTGCATACAACCTAACAAGATAGAGAGAGTGTCTGCACAGAGCCAACCTTGTCTGTGTACCTTCTTAATCAGAATTGAAAAGAAAAGCCGTTTAAGTCTTACCTCTCTTCAGGAAATTCCTCTAAGTACTGTTCAACTCTACTGTACAAAGGATGGAGTCCTTCAATATCCAGCATGTCCAGCATCTGAGCCTGAAGGGTTTTATAAAGGAGACAACCCCTCGGTAAGCCAGAGCTTTCCAATTTATGTTTACCTAGAAGAAAATGTATGTTTCAGTAAGACAGACACAAGTGATATCTTTGCTTCATCTTGCCATTACACAACTGTTCAAAAAGCAAATCCAAACACCCTTCAGACCAAGGCAGGGTGACACAGCCCCAAAACACTTCAGTTCCCAAACACCAATGTGCCATGTGCATGTGTACTAAATTACACATTAGCATTAATTCTGACTGCAGAATAAAAAACACCTGGTATACAACTCTACAAATTGCTCAAAAAAATTAACTACCCAAACCCCACACACTTCCACTGCAATCTACTTCCTTAAGTCTACAAGAGACATCTGTCATGAGTTTCAAGCCACCGCAAATTCACTTTCAGCAGTATGAACTGTTGGCAGGAAGTAATCCAGCATTTCAGACACTGGGTCTTTTTAATCTAGTATAAAGAGATACATATTTGCTGTCATTTCTGTAAGACAGCTCAGGTGTTCTCCACCACAACAAAACCAACCAGTAATAACAAAAGACCTTCCTCAAAAGCAGCATAAGAAACATGCTGTTTGTGTAATTAGGGTAACTAGCAGCATCTTGAATAATCAGAGCTTTACAAAACTCATGCACTGAGGAGTTAACATTATTTACAGTTTTTCCATTCTCACTTCCCATTCCTTTTCCCTCCAGTATGCATACCTTTCTCTTCACCAGGAAATGAAGAAAATGAGCTATGCCCTGTCCGTCAGAGGCTTTCAGGAGGAGCAGGGAATGGCAACAAACAGGTGTCACATAAACCAACCAAAGCAGCCAGGCTGCATCCCATACAACATCAACATTTCTCACTTATTTGAAATATCTGATGGTTATCAGCTCAAACTGGTATTTCCTTCAAATTTTCCTCTACCATCTCCTGAATTTCTTTTTATCCCTGTCATAAGGTACAGTGCTAGCAGCACTCACTGCAAGGTTATACCAAACCCAATTATCCAGCAGTTAACGCAGCTCGGAACTCATCTTTTAAACCTCATGAAAAACTCCACTGTTTCCCTTCTCACATCACTATTAAACAGCAAAAGAGAGGCAAAGATGTGAATCATTATATGATGACAGTTAATTACTGACAACACTTAAGAAATTGTTTCTTACCATTTCTCACTAGCTCCTTATTAAATGCACTTGCTTCACAGTAGCTTCTTCCTTGTGAAATGGGAACTGTCTTCATATCACCTGCCCTGCAGGCATCAGTACTACTTAGTAGCGTCATAGTTATAACATGGATTAGTTCTTTAACAATTGTCCTTGTGCAGTGTGGTCCACTGACCAACCCATTGGAAGGAAAAAAGAAAGGTTTTAAGTGACGAGCAAGTTCATTCCAGTCAGAGACACAGTCCTGGTCATCTTTACAGCCATAAATTAGTTCCCCATTCTGCAAACAAGGAGGGGGGGGGGGGAAAAAGTAGTATTTAGGTACTTCATGAATCCCAGTTATTCAAACTTGGTTAAAGCATCAGATTTAATATTTTAAGGCACATAGCACAGAAAAGTGTTACTGTTTTAGCAGTCTGCATACAAACACACACATCCTCAATCTCTTATAAATCTGCCTTCTGAAGTTTGATCAGATACCACAGGTAACAACCTTTGAATTAGGACCAAAAGCCCATTTAAATCAGGTGCTACCTTCCCAACTTAACTGTAAGTAAATCAGAACAATAAAAGTGAACTGATACTGAGCACATTCTCCTTTCACTTCTTTCTGAATAATGTCAATAGTTAAAAAGAACCATATCAGACAACCTTCTTCTAAAGGCCAGACTGGAAAATGGAAGGCTGTAATAAGGGACGTAAAAGGTGTGATAGTTACCTGTACTAATGGAAAACATAGGAAAGTTCATGCAGGTTTTATAAATTCAAATAGGTGGTTTAATACTGGAAATGAATTGTAAAGAGTATTTCCTAGAATTAATGTGAAAATCTGCATAAGCCATCAGTTACTGCTCTGTATTTTTCCTACATTAATGCCATAGAAAAGCTAACTTTTGCTTTCCTGAGGAAGGCATGCTGTGCATTTGGCCTGCATGAATGCCATAACAGTCATTTAAAACAAAGTATTTGCAGCAACATGCAAAGTTCTTTACTTTCTTCCTTCTGAAGAAGCACATAAAGTTTTAAAACTCTGGTCATCTTTAGAAGTCATTGTCTATTAGGTGTTCCTTGGCGACTCTTTCAGACTCACTAGCTCTGGGAAATGATCACTTACCAGTCCTAACTTGGAATCTAAGAATTTTCCTGTTTTCTTCTGTTGGTGGGGTCCAATAGTGATGCTGCTGATTAGGAAAGTCTGAAGTAGGATCCTGACTGTTCAGATCCTGAAGTCAAATTGTTTAAAAGCAAAGGCAAAAAGGAAGCAAACAAAGAGATTTGACTGTTTTACCTTAAATATTTTCAAGTTGTTCTGTGGCTCCTGTAATAAGCTCTTCAAAGCAAAGTGCATTCTCTGTTTATTTCTAGAGGGAAAAAAAAAAGTATATGTATTTTATCACAGCCCTTAGATGTTTACACCCCTGCCTGGAGGCCTCTATGGAATCAGAACTGCTGCCTGAAGCAAACACACCCATTTAAGCATGTTACTCCCACTGAAGTCACTTCAAAGACAAAGTGACTGTTTGCAATTGGGACTTCAAATCTGAGTACTAAACAGCTCTTAGGTTTATCGTTTTGTAGCAAAAGGCACTGGTGCATTAATAAGCAACTCTTGACTCTTGAAATAGGTGTAAAGAGGTATACAGCACCAGAAATATTCACTGTAAATCGCAGACAAAACAGTCATGGATCATCATCCTTAATACTGGAGTAAAGGTCAAAGTAATCTGAGAAAGAAATCTGTAACAGATTATTTTCTGGGGAAAACACCACCAAAAGAATCAAGTTTACGTATTTCCTTACCCTGAGAAGAGATCCAATGGGCAGTATTTACTTGGTCGCTTCCATTTTCCATTTGCTACCTGTTGAAAAGCCACACCACTTGTTAATCTCTTTCTGCAGTAACTACTCAGTTTTTTTCACTGTCAGGTGTGTGACACTAACATCCTGTCTTCAGAAGTCCCATGACATTTAAAACCCTTTGAACATAAAATGTATGACCATTGTGGGTCTTCCTGGTCATATTTAGCTCAAAGTCACTCAAATTGCATTCACAAACAGAAAGCATGGTGAAAGGTCACACTAAATTACAGCATGGAATATTTACAGGATTTCCAGCACACAATGGACATCAGTCAAATGGATTCCCTGTGCATGAGGTGCTGTTATGAGCCACAGAATGCCATGAATCACTGTGCATTTGATGAGCTGCACTTGAAATTTGACATCTGAGTTTACCCAATCAACAGCATTAATAGTCCTCAAAGGCTAATATTGTTTGCTTCCAGCTTCCCACAGAACTTGTTCCATCCCTCACTACACAGATTCACACCCAGCAACTCAGATGTGTATCCACCTACTATCTTTAGTCGTATCAGAAATTTAAGCAAGTTTCAACAGGGAAGTAAAACTGGAATAGCAAATAAAGCACATCAGAGTTAAACGAAAGCAGGATGACTTAAAAAATAAATTACCTTTAGATGCTGATGCATACAGTAACGACACACCTTGTGCTTTATCTCCTGTGAAACATGGCTGGAAAAAGGAATGAAGCCACACTTTGGCTAAAACAAACAAAAGATTAGGTATGTAAGTTTATTACTTTATAGAAATGTAAGAGCACACAATACACAATCTTTTCCAATTAAAGGAAAATTAATTAAAAAATACACCAGTCAACATCCAACACTTAAAAGCTGTATAACATTCCCAATTATTTTAGAGACCTCACTTAAGAAATGAGGACACACAAAACTGCTGTGGCCTGCAAAAAAAGCCTGGTAAAACTGGGGTATTTCCCAAGTTTTAAGAGATCAGGAATTGGAAGAAGGAGGGGAACATTTCATCCGATGAGTCACAGTGGAAGCAGTGAGCTCTGCCTTATCCCACTGCTGCATTTGTTTGCAACTGCTCTGGTCAGTATGTACTTCAAGAACACAAACGAAACCCCCAGAAGGATCTTCTGCTCCATACCTTAATCTCTATGCAGAGGATCGGCCGGTGTTCCACAAAACGATAGGTCTGCAGCCTGGTCAGGTTAGGAAGGCACATGGCATAACCACTAAGAGTGTCCATATCTTTATCACAGCGAGACTCTGGGGGAAACAAACAAAAAAACCCCAAACAAACAAGAAAATTAGGTGTGTGTATTTTTAGTTACTCTGTAGTTATCTTGTTCACCAGGTGGGGTGGGAACAAACGAAGGAAAAAAGACAGACAGGACACACGTTAGCAGGCTTTAGCCACTTATGCACTTGCATACATTTGCCCTCCCCATTCTCAACACCCATTCTCAGCTTCCTCAGCACTGCCACAGGCACAAAGTCTGTCTCATGAGCTGCTTTTAGTGCATGGATCCCAGCTCATTCCAAGAAACGTATCAGTGAGGCCTGAAACAGAAAGGGAGTGCATTGAATTGGCTGACAACAAGTAAAGGAACGACTATATTCAAAGACATGCAACTGCATCAACTACCATTCTTCAGTCTAGTGAAGAGGAATCTGGGAGAACTGGCAGGAATATCATCAACTGTTCAGAAGTTCAGGAGAAAGTGTAAATCTAAACACAACCTGCAAGTGGCTTCGCTCAACTCCTCAGTCTGTATGGAGTCCCACCCCAGCCATTGCAGTGTTCACATCAGAATAGTAATAGGTGAAAAGGAACACAGAAGGAACAAAAGTTAGCTTCCCCCTCCTCACAACTTCAAACAAGAATTTCCTCTCTTATGACCACCCCTTTAAAAATAGCATTTTTTAATATCATCCAGATTAACAATCCTGAGAAGAAACAAAGTAGCAAAATTATTTCAGACTAAGAGGCATTATGTAGATAAAGCCTTCTTCCACAAGCACCCTTAGGGACAGAGAAATGTCTGCAAGATTTTAATTCAAAAATCTTAATTTTTTATTTCAAAATTCAAATCTTCAATTTTTTGTTCAAAAATTTTAATTCCATTTTAATTCAGATTTAACAAGAACATACACTTCCAGGTTTTAAATTGTCTGTTACTGAAGAGACATACAGAATACATGTGTTCTGTTATGGTTTCCATTGCTAACAAAACATTCTGAAAAATATATCATTTTGGAAAAAAATAATAATCTCAATTGAATGAAAATGAAGCCTCATAAAGCATTAGCCTGCAGCTACATGCTGTACTTCACTGGAATGTGCAAGAAGAAACCTTTCCCCAACAAAATGCTGGGGTTTGGTTTTTCATCTAAACTTAAGCAAAAGTACATCCATGTTCAGCTGAAAGACACTTGTCAAATCAGACAGACCCAGAAATCTGAAGTATTACAGAAGGTCTTTCATGAGTTAGACAGGCTTATGTGAAAAGTAATAGCAAAGGAAACAATCTCCTCAAAGTTTAACAGAAAAAATCCTGTTAAAAAACAGTGAGATCTGCAGTTGTAAAGCACTTGGACAGCTCCTGATGATCACATTTCTTCCTCTAAAGAAATCACCAGGAGCTGCAGACACAAAAATTTTAACTGTAAGAAATAAAACCAAATTCTATCATTCACTTCTATCAGAGGACTGTTGATTTTGTAACTTGCATTAGACACCACTTACTTTCCTTGCTGATTTCTAGCACTGTGGAACTGTTTCTCAAAGAGATGAGTCAACAACAGAGAGTGTCCTGTGCTCGCTATATGTAAATTAACACAATTCTTCCTGGATCAAAGGCATCAAAGCACTGGCTACAATACTTTGATTTAATACCACCTTTTTCTTGAAGGAATTTTGCTAAAGCAGGAGTTCCTGGCTGTCCTCCAAAACACCAAGAACATACCATGAGCAACATCTTCTCATTGCCCTTTTTAGAGCTTACACCTCAGTGTACTTTTAGCTACACATGAAGAATGATCACGCAGGTGTTGCTGACTAAGCATGACAACACCAAGTTCTGTAGCACTTCACACCAAACACATAAGAGATCGCCAGACTGTGAGTCCTGCAGCATGTGCCATAAGGTTGCACAAAGTCAGTGCACCCTTCCCTTCACATACTTGTCCCCTTCAATCCCCCTGTCCAGGGAACTTGTGCCTCACCTCTGGATAGAGACCCCAAAGCACTATGTAAAAGCTGGGAGAAACCAAGCACCACCCCATGTCCCAGGGGCACCCACTGAACTTCAAAGGCAGCACATCCTGTAACACCACAAGCTCTTGAAGTGAGACAAGCCCAGCGATCAGGAGAGAGATATGGAAAGCTAGAACATTCAGCTGCACACTGCTCAAGTGCTATAACTCAAAGGATGCAAGATGCTTAACCCCAAGTGAAATACAAACACTAAAACCAAAACAATTTGGTGTGGAGTTTCTGAAACTATCTCTCTTCCAAAGCTCTGCTGCAGAGTTCAGGAGAAGCAGCTGATGGAATTGAAACAATTATTTCAGGACACATTTTCCACCTCCCTCACAGACCTTTGCAGAGGACTCCAAAGCAAGGTGAAAGCTTGTTCAGGAATTAACAAGCACAGGCTTATACAGGATCCTTTTCTACAGTTTCATGAAACTACCATGAGATGCAATTCTAGAACACACCTGTTTTTTCCGCAATAAATTCTAAACTTGTCACTGTCCAAATATTAAAAAAAGTTTTCTCATATTCCAAGGTATGATACTTTTTTACTTTATAATAAAGCAAAATGCTTTACAGCTTGAGGAAGGGTCTGTTTTTAATGCTATCCCTGGCACTTACCTGGCCTCTCTGGCTGAATTTTTAAGCAGAGCTGTCTTACAAAGTCCAAAGGCAGTTGAATAATTTCCTATTAAAAACAAACAAAAGAAAACATTTCAACACAAAAACTAACATCTTAAAATGGCATACCAGAGTTCAGTGGATGTTATCAACTGAATATTAAGCAAAAAAGTCAGCAGCTTCCCCTTCTGATTAACCATCTCTATGAAGGCCTGCACCTGCAATCACTTGCAGTACGTACTTCACTATGAAAACTATAACTAATTTAAATAAATGCACAAGAAAGAGCATTTTCAGTGACAGTTTCATTGCATGAAGAAACCTTCTTCATTTTGTCCTTCTCCCATATGAAAAAGTCACATTTCATCCCGTCCCAGGTCTCACCCCCAACCTTTCCAAGGCAGAATTGTGTAACTCAGCTTCTGGAAGATGCTGTAACTTCTCCACTCGGGTATCTGATGTTCAGCTAACTAGACGTGGCCACCCCAAAGAACAGAGTGAATGGCAAGGAGAAAGGTTACCTCTGACCGCACAGAAACCTACACAGTTTTCATGGGCCAGATTTCTCCCCTTGTTTTGCAGTTAGTCTAAAAACCTCTCTCACACCTCTAACCTCATGCAGGGCAAAGAAATTATCACCCTTTTCATTAGTAGCCTGAAATAGTACAATTCCATTACCTCATCAGCAAAAAGCAGGATCTCTGTTCTGATCCAAATGCTTCTTGTGTGTGTTTATCTTGCTTAGGAATATCTGCAAGCCCTATTAATTCCTTTTACTGGCATTCAGTGCTCCCCAAAACACATCAGTGTTTACAATGCATAAGCCATTTATTTTACCAATGAAACACTTACCCCATGGTGAACATAGTTCTCCCCAAAGAACTGCTTCATAACATGTTTTCCAAAGTCCACAATGTTTTGCAGATGGTGTAGTATTTCCTCTGAAGTCTGGAACACAGAAACAGGGTAACTTAACTATGAAATAACGATAAACAACACTCAGGAATACATACAGGTAGTAGTCAACGATTTAGCAAAGTAATTTAATTGCTCTACTGAGTCTGGTAGGTCAGTGCACACTGAAATTAAACAGACATGCAAAATGTGCCACATTTGATTCCCTACTGCTGCCTGAGGGGCTGAGATATAAACAGGAAAAGTCAGAAAAAATCAATCTTCTTAAATTTCAGGGGGAAAAGGACAGAGAAAATGAAGAAGGTGGAAGAAGGAGAGATTAACTCAAGATCTACTCTGTGTTTGACCATTATTCTTAAAATAGCTCAAGGAACTGTTAATAGTCAAGAGATGCACAGCATGTCTTCTTATCAACTGCTTAAGTGAAGGTGAGGCTTTGAGTGTTACAAAACACGGCACTTGGAGATTTGGAAGAGAATGGCCACAAAAAGCGAGCCATACCACAAACTCTGCAGGAACAGGTACAGAATTTGGCATCTATCCCATATCCTGCCCCAGACAATGAAAAATCTGACTATAATGTCATATTCCGTTAATTCTAAGTTATGTGCCTACAAGGAAATACCACAGTTCTTCTACAAGTCCAAAATGTCAAGCTAGGTAGAAAGGAAGCTAAATGAGCACTAGCAAGACTGCAACAGTAGCGCAGTCTATGAAAGACTTCTGCTTGTGAAGAGGCAGCAGAGAAGCTTTACAACAATATTATCCCACTCCCAGTGTACTCTGCTTCTCTGCACAGTATTTAATTGTTACAATAGACAGTCTCCAAGCTCCTGCATGCTTTACTAACACAATGCCTACAGCCTACCACTGTGCACTATAAAGCACCAAACCATATAGATTTACTCTTGGGATTAAGTAACAGTGGAGGAAAAGGAAGTGCAGCAGTTATGTCCAAGTTAAAAAATCAGAAACGAAAGAACACAAGCAGGAGAACACACACACACACAAAACAAAAAAAGCAACCAAAATCAGAATCAACCAGCAGAGTAAGAAAAAATAAAACACTAGGAGGACAACACTCAGATAAGGACAAAGTCTAGAGAAAGGAAGAAAGACCACATCCAACATAAATAAAAACCATTTATGGGTAGAAGGAGATTGTCACTAACTAGGCAATCTTACAAACTTTGTTGTATAATACCATCACAATAGGAAGATTTCTTTTCCACCAAAAGCATTTGTTATCTAACAAGCTTACACAAGTTGTGTAGGACTATGAAAGATTTCATTACTGTAACACAAGTCTGCTAAGCCTACATCCCCAGTCTATTCTGCCTCTATCAGGATTCAATTGCCAGACTGAAGCAGCAATACACAATGCTGCAATATGTAATAATGCTTTACAGAAAGAAAAGTTACTACAGTAATATACAGCACTACACAGTTGCTTCAGTAACATACTGTGCTACATACTGTTACTTCATTACCCAAAACATTAACCAGAAACCCAATCCTTTGCAGCAAGTAGGAAAACCACAGTTTTTCCAAAGCACTTCACAGCGTTTCCATCATTCTCTAAAGGCCAGGACAGCATTTATTCTGCAAAATGCCTAGCATATTGTATGTTGAGTTGTTTCTCTGAACAGCTTTCCCTGAATCCTTTCAAGAGAGCCAAAGTAAGCTTGGAGTCTCTTCACAACAGGCAATCTTCCACTGCTTAAGTCTTAGAACAAAACACACACTGTGATGCCTGAGTAACTTCCTCAACTGCAGTCATCTGGTCTGAAGAAGTGTATTTAAGGAAAAATGATTATCAGGCAACAAGACATGCGAGCAGGCCACCCACATGGGTATGCAAAAGGGTATTTTACAGGAGTGTTGTTTGCCTTTTTTTTTTTTTCTCCTTTCTTAACATGTACATGTATATACACATTGGGAAATAAGCATTTCTGAAAATCAAGACATCCACTGCTGCTGCTACTAATACCAGGAAAGATTCACCAGTTAAAAAGATAAATACAACTTGAAAATTACAAACCAAGCTATGACATCTGCTCACCTATTTTATATACTCTGAACACAACAAAAACCAAGTAACAGGCTACTGGATCATCACCTTTCAACACTACAAAAAGCTCAGATGAAAAGCTTTTGAAGGACCCATCATTACTGCCAGCTCACTTAGCAATATAGCAAAACTCATGAAACAGGTTCCCTAAAATCAGCCAAAACCCCCAAAAAACTCATGCAGAAGACTCATATACTAAAATTAGCAATATGCAAGTAAAAATTCCACAAGTCCTAACACTTGACTTCCTACTCAAAAAATACAAGCTCCAGAGTTACATGATTATTTCTCATTAAAACACTGAATTGTAACAGTAAGATTACAATCTGCAGTATCACCACCTGCTTTAACTACTAGCTTATCTAGTTCCAAATCCATAACCAAACAGTATAAAACCAAAGCAGAATCCAGACTTCTTAAACCTTTTCCAAAGGAGTGCAGCAGAAGAGACTGAGACCTGTTTGTCCACATCCGAATTTCAGAATGTGTCTTACTAGAAAAGTCTGTTCCAACTGCTTCTTTCAGAGTTGTTTACATTGGATGAGCTACAATGTCATACGTATATATGTAAACACAACATATATTTATCCTAACTCATCTTGCACTAGTCAGGAATACAGATTACACCTAAAAAAAACCAACACATTTTCCCCTCTACAGCATTCAAGAACCTGAGCAGCATTCACATACTAAAAGAACATCGTGCCCAGGAGATTTTGTTCTTGTGTTTCACTATCCCAATCCAAAAAGCTATATGCATGCCACAGAAGCTTTATCAACTTCAACACTGTGGTGGGTAATTGTGACATGTCACTTTCTGCCTTCCTTTGTGACCTCATCATACTTTGTCAGTTTTTTAAAAACAATTACTATGCAACAAAAAAGAGGGAGAAAGAAAGATGGTACTCAGCAGTTTCTTTTCTTAAATAAATGGCAGTCAACTGACCTTTCGCTTAAACTTGTGGTCTAATTCTCCCTGGCTATATTAAAACTTGAGATAGGCACTGTTTTCCTTTCTTCCAATCCACTGGATTCTTCCCTGTTCTTGTAAAAACTCTAAACATTATTATCTTGGACTACTACAGAAGCACAGGATACATTTTTGAAATCCTGCCACTACAAACAGATCAAAAACTTAGCTGAATCATACTTTAGTTTTACCAGACTTTATTTCAAGTATAATAGCAGAAAGGCCACCAAATAACTCCTACATACACTACTGTGTTCATCGGGTTTACTTTCTGATCTACTTTAGAAGCTTCTCTTTTGACCATTGTTAAACTTAATGTATTTTGCATTCATCTTCCCAATTTAAAGCAAAATGCCTTTCCTGCACATTTACTTTACATTCACCCTTGTTCCTTTTTTCCTAAAATTAAGCACTCCTCCCCCAGCTCCCAGTATAGCCAGAATTCTTTTTATATTTCTTTTCTCATCAGAAAAGTCTGCCACTGAACGTGACAAAGTGGCTCAGAAGCTGCTGTAGCTCAAACCACTCCCTGTATCTCTCAGATAACACACCCTAAACACTACTCATGAAGTTGAGGAAATGGCAGAACTTGAACCTCCTGCCTTTTGTGCTCTTTTTTCTTCTCCTCGGAGCACTTTTATTTTTACCCTCCACCTTTGATCTATGATCATTTTATATCCCTTTTAAAGCAAATCTAAGGTAATTCATTCCAGTTCCTTCTCAAGCAGAAAAACCTTCTGCCACAGCCCAAGAAACTGGCAGACTGTGTCCTACCCATGTCCTTTTCACAACAGACAGAACACTAAAACCACTCACTGGCAAAGGCTATTCTGTGAATATTTCATATCTTTGTCCAAATTCCATGGCTTTTTAGCTACTGAATAGGTAGTCCACAGCCCACCTTTATCATGACACCAGTCCTGTGCTGTTCCTCTTCTATCCCACCCAGCAAGAGTCAGTGAGACTGTCATTTCTTCCTCAGCATCGCCGCACTCCCATATGTTCATATGCCAGATTAACATTTTCTCTGTTGCCAAAGCCATCCTTACAGGGATCGTGCCTTCTACACACTGCAGTTTTAGAATCTGTCCCACACAAAAGTCTCCACATCAGCAGTCACATAATCTTAGCTACATAAGACAACCTCAAATTTCCTCCTCTTGCCAAAACTCCTGGAACATAACCACATTGTGAAATATCTGCATGTTGAATCTTACCTTGTTCTGGTTTGGGGGGGACTTCAAAAACCGCAACACCACACAGCGCTAAAGAAAAATAGGAAAGAATATGATTTCATTAGCATATAAGTACATGATGATTTCTAACAGCACAATTATCTGATTTCCCAACCTACCTCAGCTGAAAAATTGAGGGGCGGGGGGAATAGGCATTCTAGATGGTTATTTCACTCCACTTGAAATCAAATACACCAATGTCTGTTGTCAGATTTTGCATCACTTTTACAAGGCAGCCTCTCTGCACTTCCAGTCATTATGTGTAACAGTAAATACTCCCTTAGCTTATAGCACTGCTCTGAAAACCTGGTAAAACACAGGTTCAAGCAAACAGAAAAACACCCTACCATTTTCACACTGAAGGTCTTTGAGGGGGGAGCAAGACTCACTTAGATGTCATCTGCTTACAATATCAGCACAGCATTACAAAACATTAAGGAGATACCGGCTACCAGCAGTAGTTACACAGCAATACTTAACGCTAAAACCTGCTACTTCTACACTTCCAAAAAGTAAACATGTAACAGGACAAATGGATCAGATTTCTAAATAATTTACTTTTCTATCAGATTTCGTAACAATTCAGCAACCTTTGTATGTCAAAGCACACAAAGTCTAAACACATCCTCAGCCTTTAAGAGTTCACATAAAAATATTTTTCAGATGTCCGAAGTAAGTTAGGCCTTTCGCCTTAAGGTTATTAAGGGAGGATCTTCCATCACAGAAGTCACCTGAAGTACCTTTCTCTCAAAAAAAATCTTGTTGACATCAACCATTACACTTGGTAAATAGATTTTTTTATATTAAAATCAAATTCTGACATAGTATTAAGGAAGCTGCAGCCTCACTAGGTAAGACAACACATAGCCCTTCCTCAGATTAGTCAGTCTAAGTATCTGCTCCTCAAGATATCTACTCCCTCTGATGTACTACAGCCTATTCAGACAAAACGTGGATAAAACCAACTGGGCACCACAGTAGGTAGAGATGAACAGCTGTTTTCTGGAGTTTCATTGTCTCCATTTGGACCTTACCTAAACACACCAAAAAGGGTTACATTTTATTTAAAGCACTACCAAAAAAGTACTAATACTCAGATTTCCTGACAAAGATAATGCAGGCAAAATGTTATAGTTACACTTCAGGTTTAAGGAATCTTAAGTTTTTTCCCTACCAAATGACTTGCCATTAAAAACCTCCCTCAGCATGACAGCAACAGATATATTCCACATTTCAGGGCTGAAGGCTGTCTCTGGACAGTGCTGAGTGGGAGAGAGCTGCAGTCATCTTTGATTGCTAACATGTAGAGAAAGAGCAGGAGGAGAAAAGCAAACCAGACGACAATCCCAAACACTTAACAAAACAAGATCCAGGTTCAGACATTGGTAGTGAAACCCAGAAACAGGCCCTTCAATATCTA